TGGCTTAGTGGGCGTGGCAGAGGAAGGTTACTGCAAAATCCCCATTCCCTCCCAATCAGCTGGGTCTCGGGAGGCAGAGAATAAATGGGGGCGGGACCAGTCAGAGGTGGTATTTACCGGTTCTCCAAACTACTCAAAATTTCCGCTTCCGGTTCTCCAGAACTGGTCAGAACCTGCTGAATACCACCTCTGATCTGGATACCCCAAGATTAGGGGTCCTGCCTGATTATAAATTGAATTATCATCCAGCAGGGAGATACAGCTAAAAAAATCTGTAAATTTGGTTTTAAGTTTCATTCGTAGAAGAGTCGCCGGCGTTAGAATTACATCAAGAGAAATTAACAGTCTTTTGGGTAATAATAATTCATCTGGACAGTTTCTCACCCTCTAAATTCTTGGGTTACTGGATTAAATAATACTAGCAGTCCAATATCAAATCCAGTTTTCCAGAAAAATACCCTTTTACTGGAAAGCTATCTGCTTTTGTTTGGATTTTTGCATGATGCCTTTCCCTATTCTTGATGCAGTGATATCTTATACAAATAATAATATATAAAAGGATGGAATGAAATTGCAGAACATTTACCTGAATCGATAATTTCCTCCTTTATATGCTCCCTCCTAAGTGTGGAATTGGGTTTTCCCAAGTGCCCAGAGTTATCTCTCTCCGCTGTGCTGCGTATCACTAAAACAACGAAAAGGAACATTATGTAAATGCTGGAATCATATTGTAAGAGTTTGGAATTCTAATAGTTTAATCAAAAAATTGATCACCAGCATCTCATAGTCACCTGCATTTGGCATTTTCCTTGTATTAGTGTCTCCAGATGTGTTACTAATAAAGTTCTCTTCACCTGTAATTCAAAGCAATTCTGCATAAAATGTTACAGGTTACAGTCTTACAGCTGTAAAATTCTAATTCCTGTAAATGAATCTCAGTCCTTAACCAGCGAAGCCAAACACAATCCGTCAGCCTTAAATTGTATTTTGCTTGAGTACTCAAGAAGTGCATGCACACCGTTTAAACAATTCCAGACAAGAAACAAACACAATACATTAACCACATCACCCAGAAGAAGTCCATAATATTCTGTGGACTGCATTTATTATAGCGAATATCTTTGCAGATCTTAAGTGGCAGTGTAATAGAGAAGGTTACGTAGCTTAGCCTTCTTAGAATCCTATGTAAATGTCTTCCTAGCAGTGTTGACAAGATCATGTCATCCTTGGGCAGCAAATCAACAGCTGTGCAAGCTAGAGATGATGTGGTCTGCAGGGTATCCAGTTAGAAAATGTTGAATAATAGCAATAGGACCTAGACTTCTATACTGCTTCATAGCGCTTTACAGCCCTCTCTAAGTGGTTTACAGCAGTGGTCTCCAACATTGGCAACTTTAAGACTTGTGGACTTAGCTTTGCTGGCTGAGGAACTCTGGGAGTTGAAGTCCACA